TCAAACGGAGAAGCATTTTGGTATTGAAAACGAATTTTCCTTTTTTTTTCAAGAAAAGCAAAAAAGTCGAAATACCATTTTCGGGAGAAGTTAAGCCACAAACGAAGAAAAATGAAAGAAGCGACAACTGATGCAGAGAGAAAAGAGCGGAGGGTCAGCATCGGCACAATTTTGGGCTAATGGAAGCAGAAATGAAGGAGAAGGACATTGTCCCTCTTCTTGAAAAACACCTGCAATGATGGAAGGGGTCACCTGAGAAAGAGGGACCGAGAGAAAGAGAAAGAGACAATGAGTGTATGTAGTGGTCAGTTTAGAAACATGGAAAATGAGATGAGGTGTCTTTTCAGGATATTATTGTTGGAACATAGGGTTCTTTTCATGGATTGGTCCAAATCGATTACCAGTTATTTATCCCCACGGCGTTGCGCAAGTTTAAGCCCAATCAGTCATGAAAAAACGACGGTTGACTGTTTTTTCCAAAAATAAATAATAAAACTGAATCAAAATCTTGGCGATTGAAAAAATATCTGGCTAAGTTTTGAATGAGAAACTTGGCTATATAAATTAGGTTTATCTTGGTTAATATTTTGCTATATCTGCTGAAAATTAGGCTATACCTAGCATTACGCTTTATCTCGCTCAAAGTAGGCTATAATTGCCTTGAATTATGCTTTTTCTGGTTAATTTTAGACCACATATGGCTAATATTTGGCTTGCAATAATTATGAACCCTGTAAATAACCGCTAGTTAGACATGGAAAAATTGGAAGATATATAAATGTCCCTGAAACAAAAATCTATTATTAACGGCAGGGAAAGCGAATCAACATATTTAAATATGGTTTACACCAGAGATAACCATCAAATTATTTGACTAAAGTTTTTTCATAAATTACAATACCATATAATGTTCTGGGGGCTTTTTTTCTATCTTTTTTTGACACATTTAGAAAGTGAAGGAAACTTAAACAAAAAGAGTAACGATAATCGGAAGTGGCCCTAAAAAGTATATCGAATGACGGATCATTACTATAACTGGAAGTGAAATGAGGGCCTTAGAAACTGTATGGAAAAGGTTAGGAACTCGTTTTCCACTTCATTGCTTCTTTAGGAAAACGCTACATACACACAAGAGTAGCAAAAAAGGTGAAGAGGAAGAATGGCGAGAAAAAAAACAATTACACCACATTTTCAATCACCGGAAATCGACACGAATCCGGGAGAAAGAAGAAAACGGACAGGAAATTAAAAAAATAGGGAGAAAAAAAGAAAAAAGATGAAAAGGTTTTAAAGGTTCAAGACTTTTCGGTCACGCACAATTTGTATGCAGATTTTTCTGCAGGGAGATGAAGAAGAAGAAAAGGATGGGCTAGGAAAATCATTAACGGGATGAGAAAGGAAATATGCTCTTCTGTCCCGTTAGGCATGCGCGTAGGGAATTGTCAAACAGATGGTCCGTGAGTCCCCCCGTGCATTCCTTGCACATCTGCGTATCTTCAACAATAAGTGTATTATCGCTTATTCCGGAGGATATGGAGTGCAAATGAGATGTAAAATGTAGCAGTAAGTGAATACGCGTGTTCTTGTCCCATTTTTCTTCTTTATTCTCTTCCTCTTTTTCCTCTCCTCCCATTGTGTTGCTTAATAAGAATAAGTGACTATGCCAAGAGCACAGTAATTAACGTAATTGTGAATAGTCATACAAAAATATAGCATGCTTTCTTCTCTATTTTCTCAATTTGAAATGAAGGCAAAAAAAAACAGAAATTGCGGGAGAAATAACCGCGTCGGAACAAACGTTCATAGGCAAGGTGATTTGAATCTCAACGCACCGAAAAGATTTGTGAAGGACACATTTTGAAATAACGAGGCGATTGGTAATAGCGATGAAAGAAGATCAGAAAGTAATGACCGAAGAAAAAAGTGCAGCCAGAGTTCAAAGAAAGAAATTTGAAATTAAACTCAAAAAAAGTAAAATTTGTAGAGATTTTGAAAATCTCACATGAACGGTTCGAAGCGGAGAGATATCGAAAATTCTTTGTTACATTAAAAATTCAATTGTTAGTTGAAAATTTGTGAATAATTATTTGAAAAATGATGTATAAATTTGACTAGAATAATTATTTTATGGTATAAACCAAATACGGAACTTCCAGAGAAACTATTATGCAACCCACTTTTTTGCCCTACCAATTTCAGAACACTATTCCTGCCTCCTTCTAGACTCCGTAATCACTATTTTCCAAACTAATTGGTTTTGTCACCTTCCAAAGACCAAAACGTCTAGTATAGTTAAGCTTGATGTTACTTTGAACATGCTATCTTATTTTGGTTACTAAAGGGAAATGTAGGAACACAAATTCTAACCATAGGCAAAAAGAAACACCTAAATGACCCTTTTTAGTGCGATTTTAGTTTTGAAGATTTTAATTTTTCAATATTAAGAGATGCCTCAGCTGCATTGCGAAAGTATCAATACTACCGTATTCCTGATAGAAGCTTACTGAAATCATCAGGTCAATTGTCTCGATTTACATGAAAGAAATCAAAAAATCGTCAACTGATAGAATCTTGGTGATATTATGATAAATAACTTACCAGTTGACGAATTGCCGATATCTTTTACAGTAATCAAAATAATTAAGCTCAAAATTGACGGTTTCGGTAGGCTGCTACTAGAGGAAGTACGTTATCACTGAAAATGGTCAAAAGCAAAAATAGATCAGAAGTATGGTTTCACACAAATAAGCTTCGAGATTGTAAAAATGCTACTAAGATAAATGTTTATAGTCAGTTTTTAATTTCTTACATTTTCAGGTCAAAATGATGAATGTAAGAACATGCATCCAATGCTCACTGTTTTTCACAAAATTCTAAATTTCGGCATTCATTCTCACCCGGTACAGTAAAATCATGAAGTGTGAACAAAAGAAAAGCAGGAATTTTTTGCTACGTTAATTGATACTTAAGGAAAAGTAGCTAACAGAACAATTATGTAGTTCTCGATGATAACAAATTAGCTCCATTATACGCGAAAACGAGAAAGTAGAAAGTTTCTTTATTCGATTAAATGAAAAAAGTTTTTTTTTTGTTTTCAGCATACTTTCACTATGGCAACCGTTGGCTGCAAAAAAACCAGTACTTTTAGAAATGTCTAATTTTGGCTGAAGTAAAGTAAAAAAATTCTTCCATGGTAATAAAAATTGAAATGAAACAAATGAATTCTGTGTATGTGTGTGGTATGAGTGAGCATATAATAAAAAGTCCCAAGGGGAAAATTTGGGCGGTACCTCGTGAAGGAGAAATGACTGACTGACTGGGTGGTAGAGGTATGCGCTGCTTGTCTCTCGTAAAACTTTTACTACAAAGTGTATGCGGGACTGCACTTTGTGTTCAATATTGAGCAATGAGAAAACTTTTATCTTGTGGGGCATCCAAGCAAATGAGTGGGATGATGATGGGTCAGGGAGCGGACTTTCTTATTTTGTAAAAGGCTGAGATAGAGGTTCGGGAATTCACAAATTAGTGTTTTGATAGGAATATTGAGTTCAATTTGGTACATGCTCAAGAAAAATTCGATTTGTGATTTTCAACCTTCAACCATTTTCAAAAGCTCCTAATAATCGGCAGTCTGATTTTCAAGAAACAAATAATTCTATTCCAATTTAAAGATATTTCAATTTAAAAGCTTATCTAAAATTGAAATCTTCAGTTAAGTTGGAAAAAATTGGGGTCCACAAAAACCGCGTCTCTTAACAAACTGAAATTGAAGAGTCTTCATTTTTGTGATATGGCTAAGAATCCTCAATGTCATTCTGTTAGGGACTTCTGAAATAAAAGAGAGCTGGAAATTTTAAAGCTAGCTAGATTTAAGATCATATGAGAAATCAACAAATTTTCAGACTTGAAAACAATTTAAATAACGACATTCTAGGTTATTTTCACAGACGAAAAAAACCTCTGCTTCATTTTTGTCTGGGTTTTCACAAATCCCAATGGATGAACAGAAATTTATAGGAAACGGAAGAAGGCAAAACAGGAAAATTGGAGGAATGGAGGGCACAACAAAATAATAAATTCTGAAATGAGATCCCAAACAAAAAAGAGCGAGAAGAAAAAAAAGAAGATGCAGAAGCGGGATGGGGCGGGCGCCCTTCGGAATGAATATGTTTTTCTTTGGCATTCCACCCCCAAGCCTCTCTCCCGCACCCCACACGCCAATTTTTAATTTTTCTTCTCTGGCACGCTGCCAAGTGGACACGACAACACTTGATGGCCGAGACCCGCTACCAAAAATTGGCGGCCACCAGCAGTTGCATAATGTGGCGGTCAGCAGAAGTCGCTTAGGAGCCGTCGGAATCTTCTGGAGGAGAGAGAACACGTGCTTTTCCCTTTCTAGTGTCACACACAAGAGTCTTTCACCCACTTTTCTTTCACACAGACAAACACACAGGCTGTCCCTCACAACCACCATCGTCACCACCCTCACACCCGGTCGTTTGGCTCACTTCAACAATAAGTGGGTGAGCACCCACAACCTCCCAGACGGGTGAGATTCTGTTAGTCTCGAGAGTGTAGGAAACCCCGGGGCGAAGAAATGAGAGAAGAATGGGTGGGAGAACACTTCGAGCACCATGAAGACGGACGGGTCTCGAATTTCTAGGATTATGTGAGATTATGAACCCTTCACTGTGGTCGTATGTGGGAGGTACACGTTTTAAAAGGGTAAGAGATCAAAGGGTAAGTTATGGTCAAAAGAATAAAAAGGACAACTGATGAGAAACGAGTTGGAGATGTAAGTGACTATCAAATTGGCACCGTTTATTTAAGAGAAAGGGTTGAGAACAAATTAAGAAGAAATGTTTGCTTACAAGGAAACAAAGATTTGAACCGAAATGATGAAATGAGTACCGACGTCAAAAAAATGGGAAGTTTTGGGGGAATAGGGAGATGAGGAAATGAGGGAAAGTGGAACACAGAAACATTTTGGGCATGATTATTTAGAAGAGATGAGGAATCAGCATAGCACGACGTCTCGGATAGTTTGGCACGTTACGACGGAACCATCTGAAATAGTAACATTGAATTTTAACGTGAGATGTAGGATTTTTTATTGGCAGTTTGTTAATTTACATTATGTTTTTGAAGATATTCGATATTCCAATTTTCAAAAATTGATAAAATTGTAGTGTGTCCCTGTATTTTATTAAAAATCTATTTTTTTCAATTACTAATTCTATCAAAAAACTTCATATCATTTTTAGTGAAATACGGATAAAATCAGAGAAATTAGCTTCAAAAGCGATGCTTAATGACTTTCTGACTGAGGACTACAAAATCCTCTTCCGTCCAGAGATACGTTTAAGCGATGGTTGTCTTTTCGGTGACTTTTCTCCGGGATTTTGAAAATGTTGGTAATAAAACTGAAAAATACGAATTTCGTGAAGTATTACATGAAAAACACCTATCACTTCTTGCTCAAATCGGCGCCAAACTCGGAAAAAAACAATTTTAAGCTCACCCCTGAGTACAGTAATAATTTATAAACTTATAGAAAAACTCACTGGTGACGCATATGAGCTCTGGCCCAAGCCAACTCGATTTTGTACACCGCGTATCCCAAGGAAACCGGACTGTTGCAGATGACGTGGAAGGATATCCATTGGATCACTTCACCAAAATGCATTGGAGACGTGCTGTACTCGTAGTCCTCATCTGAAATCTTGCCAGTTTTTAGAATTTCGTCTCACATAAACTCACAAGACGGAGTATGAATTCTGCCGGTGTAGACAAAGGTGATTATGTTCGAAAAGTTGGACATTTTCTTTTTCATTCCGTAGAAGAAGAAAAAGATGGAAACGACCACATTGAACAGTCTCCACCACGTGTAATCCACATCTTCGGCAAAGTAGAGGTTGTAAAGAGCAAAGTTGAGGACGATCAGGAAGTTTCTATGGAAACGAAGACTGATTTCTCGAAAATGGAACCAGCCGCAGGCGGTGTGTTGCAGCTGTCCGGGAATCCAACAGTAGCTGAGATTGTGAGCAATAAAACAAATTACTTTCACACAGAAACTCACGCCAACAAAGTATCCACAAAGAGAAGGAGAGTAACAAGCCGTCCCTGGCACGTTGGTGACAAAATGATGATTATAGGATAGACCAAAAGGGAACCCATATTCTTGATACACCATGCTTCGGCGGGAGACATTGAAAGCTCACGCCCTTCGATCATGTGTCTTTGTGGATTGATTTCTCCATTGACCGCTCGCAACAAATAACGAAGCCAATCGCAGAGATGAAGTGTTGAGAGATGGCGAAAAAGAAGTGCATACGATTCTCCCAAAGCTCCAAGTCTATAATAGTAGGTGGTTCGGCCATTACGCTGAAACAAAGTATTTTTGATGAACATTATATGAAAAATGGATATAAAAAAGCCCGGAAATGATATTGTAAACATTTGGAAACCTAAGAATCGATAAGCCTTGTCTAACATCAACTTTTTGTATCCTGTTTCAGAAAATAAAAGTCTAAAGCTTTGGAGAGCCTACAAACGATTCCAAACGCTTGTGATTCACGAAATGAATTATCTGTATTTTGAAGTGACTCAGATAAAAAATAAGCTCAATATCACCCTTTGCCGTCATAGTGACGTTTGATATAGCACCGGAAATAACTTGACAAACCTTTGGATTCTAACAACAGACTAGTTTTTGGGGGCTTTAACTAAATTTTCCTGAAAAACAGAAAAATTTGAAAAACTATAAATTTAGTAAAGGTTTCGAAAAAGAGAACCATATAATTACTGAAAAGATACAAATATTCTTTATCGAAAATTTTAAACTTTTAAATTAGAATATTGTTCAAAATAAAGAACACAATTGAAACGTTTCGAAACCTCGAAACGCTTAAATTCAAAAAGCCGAAAATTTGAAAGCGTTTCAAAATGAGTCAGAATTCAAAAAAAAATAGGTCTTAAAAAAACTGAACACCACTTTGGTTTCTACTCATCACAGTGACGTTTGATACTCAGCCAACAACAGAAACAGACGTAAATGGTTGAGAAAAGGGGACAGAGAGGCGAATAGTTGAACCAAAACCAAAAAGATCTGTCCCCGGCTTCCCCATCTGCAATAAACTAAAGAACGTGCACAATGAGGAGAGTCTTCAGACAACGCATTTGTGTGATGAAAACTGTATGCCATTGTGTTGAGAGAGAAAGACAGAGCAAAGTGTTGATTATTCAGAAAAGGTCAAAAAGAATGAAGAAGAGATAGAGTGTGCAATGGTTTACACTTGATGCATGTGCAAAGAAAATAGATTGTAAACACTATGTTCGAATGTAGGGGTGTGCGTTTTTTGCAGATTGGGGCCAATGATGCAATAATGGGGTTTGAATACGCCTAACAGAGACGTGTTCGAGCTGAGACACATTTTTTATCGTCCCGTAAATTAAGACAGCAAATTGAGACAGTAAATTAAGACAGTTAAGACAGTAAATTAAGACAGTAAGACAGTAAGTAATTAACATCATCCGCGCATTCTGCTGAGCTTAGAAGAACTTTTTTTCTTGTTGAATAGGAAAACGTTTAAACGTTTTTCTTCCATTTTCCACCTGCAATCGTTTCCCTAAATAGATTTTCCTACAACTTACAGCCATATCAGAATATGAATAGCCCTCATCTTGAGGTCGTGTGAGTTAGGAGCAGAAAAGGTTCGAAACCAAAGTAAGGTTGATAGATTTTGGAGCGAGAGCAAACAAAACGAGATTCAAGAAATGAAATTGTCGAGAAACAATAACATCTGCATATGCCTCTCCTCGTGGTAATGGAAGGTCTTGGGAACGAATGCGGGGCAAAAAAAGATGTGTTTCTTTTTTTCGACAAATCAATGCAGCACCGATTATTCAATACGTTAAAGGCGCTCGGAAAGACACCGCGAAGCGTGCGAATATCAGAATATGACACGAAACAAAAAAGTTTTTTTTTCAGAAAATGTTATGCATTTTTGTGCACTCTTTGTTCTTTTTGTATCAACTTGGGAATGGAATGGGGCACAGAGAAGGTTTTTTTGTGGCAAAAAGTGTATGGGGTTGTTATTTGAAAAAAATTGGCGTCTAATTTCTGTCCCCCAGTATTAAACTGTTTTACCCGAATATAATCATCCCCCGCTTGCGGCTTATGGTGTTTCTGGGATTTTATGGCCAGGCTGAAACAACAACAGTGAGGCCAAAAAAGAGCATCAATCCTGAAACGAATCAATCGACGATGGACTATGGACCATTGAAAGAGGTAACCAACTCTAAAACTGCCGTAAAACCTGTGATAGAAAGACACACTGTGAAGTTTGAGTTCAAATATATCGGCTCTTCTGCAAGATATCACAAATGTGTCAACTGATAAAATGACTGTGATATTATGACTAACAATTTATACGTTAAGAACTTTTTTATATCTTTCACGGGAACCGAGATAAATTCATCTTCTATCACAGGTTTTTCAGTGTACTACATTTACAGAGAGCAACCCTTATTAGCGTAGCTGTATTCTGTTTATGTATCTGTGATTAATTTTAAACTACATTAAAAAGTTCAATATGCCATTATAAACTTGAAGAAGCGGGAGTTAAGATTGTTTTCCAAAATACCGTAATACCTTTTTTTCAAAATACCGTAACATTTTTTTAAAAGTTGATTACAATTGTCCTAGAACATTTTTTCCTTTATTTTGTGAAATACTTGAATTTGATGATTCTATATTTTGACTCCAGACTTGACAAGCTCGGGAAATTTTTAACATTCATTTTCCTTTTTTTTCTCAAGTTTTCAGACAAAAACTATCTAGAAATCACAACAATTTGAATTATTCAAAAAATCCCAAGAAAAACTTACCAGAGTTATTTTTTTCTTGACAAATAATTTTCCAGACAAACGGGTCATAATTATTTCAGGTGTTTAAGGAATTTTTCTCATTCCAAATATCCGTTCCCTCAAGTCTTCTTCTTCTCGAAGTTTTTTTTTTGAAAAAAAGTGTTCATGAATCAGTTATCCTTGTTAATACATAATCTGCAGATAAGACAGCGAACGTTGATATTCTGAAAATCCTCCGTGGATTATGACCGTTCTGTTGATCCCTTCTTGTTAGATGTGTAGTTTTTTAGATTTTCCGAACATTTCTCTTTTTTTTCTTTTTGATTGTTTGTCTGGAATGTCTCTGAATTTGCTCTCATCATTTATTGTGTGATTTTGAATTTTTGTATTCATAGAGACAGTCTTCTTGGCGTTGCTCCTTAACACAAGCAGTATTGGCTACTGAGATATACAAAAACCTATTTTTATCAAAGAGGCCTTCTTTTGGAACGTTTAGGTACTGAAGGTGTGAAAAAACAAGTGTTTTTCAGAACCAGCAAATAGCTGAAAAACAGATACTTATCATAAATTTTGTACATGCAAAATTCTCGTTCTAGATTTGTTTTATTTTACAGCTTCAAAAACTTTCACAGTGACCAAGCTCCAGACTTCAGCAAATGGTCAAAATGGCCGACCATCAACTGAAAAAAAAAAACGTTTTTGTATATTTTTTTGAACGGTACTGTACTTTTCACAAATTTATGTTTCGAGAATTTGCTTTTGCAAAAAGAGAAGTTTTCATAATTTAGGTTTTTTCCCAGTTTCGAAAATCTTCTCGTCAGTCATTTCCACATGACGGACAGCAAATTCGAGAGAGAACGCAACCAAAATAAACGGTTTTATGATCAATCTGCGATATCTAACAGCAGATTTTGATTCATTTCTTGTCGCGTCTACTCATCCTTTCAAATTCTTTCATCCTCTTCGACTCATCACAAAAAATAAGTTTATTGTGATGAGTCCCACACGTTCTGAGCCGGCAAGTGTTGAAAGACGAATGAAAGCAGAGCTAAAGAAAATGGTGTCCTCAAAGATTTTTGAAACTTTGGTTTCAACATTGCCGGACTCGCATGCCCCGCCCACTTTTTTTCTCCTTTTTTCGTTTTGCGCTTCACCGCTTCAAGTGGCCGTGTTCGCTGATATAGAGAGAAAGTGAATTGCTTGTCCGGATTTTTTTCGAAGTTTTTCTTTTCTGCTTGAAGTTGATGAAATCTCAAGTGTCATCAGTTCCCTACCCAAAATTCAATCATGGACTTTCTGTTTTTCATTCTTTTTCGTTTTTCTTGCAGATCATTCCTCGACGTAACTTCTTCTGGAATCTGTGCATCATGAGCACGGAACGTCTCATGTATCTGGACTTGAATAAAGGGTGAGTAGAATTGTATACAACAAATCTTTGTTTTTCTTTTTTAACAAAATGAAGTCATCCCCTCATCAAAAAAATATGTGCAAGGAGACTGAAAAAATCCGCAATTTAAGATTGTTGTTGTTTGAATTGAATGAGTTACTTGAATTTTTTTACAAAATGGGAACCAGAAAATCCTTCATTCCTTTCATTTGTATTTCTTTTTTCAGTTTGTGATCAAAAACATGGATTCGTTATATTTTCGCAGAGATTTTTTGCTCAATTTTTTCAGAATCATAGGATTTTCTAGTTTTGAATACCTTCTTTCACAGTTGAAGAATAATTATGGAACTTTCAATTGTTTACTGGTTTGTGAACGAAGGCTGTACCTTTTTTTTTCCTTCCATCGAATCTTTGAGAAAACAGTCAGAACCCCCACAAATCATCGCATAGTCCTTGCTAGTCTATTTATTTTTGTTACTCTCTATTTTGGCAAAAAACAAGGATTAAAATTAGAGCAGAGAATGAAAGCCAAGCAAACTATTCCTTAAAGGAAAAAAGAAAAAAGAAAAAATAGATAATTCATTTCGCTGTAAACAAAAACTATCTAACACCCCGACAACATTTCTGGCTGGAATTGACAAAACAAAAACGGAAAAATTTTTAAGGGAGGGCTCCTTGTTTAGTATTCTTCTCCAAAAAGGGATTTCTCTATTTCTCCTCAGAAAACCCGAGGATCACCGTTTAACGAAAAAAGAACATAGCCGCAGATGGGGGTTCAACTCGTCAATTAAACCTCGATCCCCACTTTTTTTGCCAAGTTTCCCCATTCTGAATTAACCCGAAAAAGAAAAGCCAACACTGAAAATGTTACGACGGTGCAAGAGCTTGCGGTAGGTTCCTCTCTCCTTTAAAAATACGAACATGTTCTTCTATTTCTGCTGATGGTGTTGAATAGGGTGGAGGGAGAAAAAAACCATGT